CCACGGCAGGAGAGCCCAGGAATGAGGGTGGGGGCATTCACCAGGGAGCCTTTCGAGGGCTTGCTACATACACGCTGGATTCTGCGTTAAGTGAAGCGGGCACCAACTGCGTTAAGTGAAGCGGGCATCTCCAGCGACGAGTAACATGATCCAATATAACTTTTAAAAAGATGAACCTGCCCAGCCGGTGTGGCTCAGTGTCTCATCATTGATGTTTCTGTCTCTTGCTCCATCACCTTTCCTCTCTGAAATCGATAAAAATATACTTTAAAAAACAACAACAAAAAATAAAAAACACACACAAAAAAAAACCCACAATGACACAAAGCTCATAATTAGCCACTCTGAGGCCTGGGAATATTGCAGACCAGTCCCTGCAGCCAGACACCTGAAACCTCTGAAACCCCCTGGCTCTCACAGGAGAGGTTTGGCCAAATTGGAAAGCAATCCTAAAAGTTTATGTGGCTTTACCAGGAAGAATGCAAAACTGACAGTCTTTTCCAAAGTATTAATACAAGTCAAAATGCGACCCGCCTGCAAAGACTGGATTATCTCCCTGTTCACTCTATCAAAAGTTCTACCAAATCATTGCCGCATCAAATCTGCACCCAAAAAATTAGGAAAAGATATGAGTACTAATTAAGGGTTAATTAGTAAAATTAATTTTATTACAATAGTTAATAGTTTGAAGTTTGTGGTATTTGTGATCAGCTTTGTAGACTTCAGTGTTTGTTGTGATTACTTTTCTTATTCTAATCAATTTCCATCTTTGTATCTAATTTTGTACTTTTTCTCTTAAAAAGGGTGCTCCAGCCCCAACCGTGTGGACCTATGGACCAGGTGACATGCCCAGGTTGTGGGCTCATCCCCAGTGTGGGACGCACAGGAGGCACCATCAATGATTCTCATCATTGATGTTTCTCTCTCTCTCCCTCTCCTTCCTCTCTGAAATCAATAAAAATATGTATTTATTTTTTTAAAAAAAGAGTGCTCCAAACTGCACAAGTTTGAGGCCTCCTGCTCTCCCACCCCCAGTGGGACAGTGAGCGTGGGGTGGGGAGCGGGGCGAAGGGTGGATGGGACCTCGGAGCCCTGGCACCTGGGCACCTGGACACAGGGACCCGCCATCCGGGAGGGCAGGGAATGCAAGGGTGCCATTTCCACGGTCCTGGTGGTGAAGTCGGGTTGTAAATCAATGGCCCACGAAGGGCGGACACCCTGCGGTCGCCACACCCCTGGTCCTGTCCCTAGATCTCCGGTCCCCCTCCTTCCCGCCAAGGCGCCCGCTAGCTCCCAGGGCCCCCACTCCCACCCTGTCAGGTGCGCATGCGCAGAGGCGTGCACTCTGCAAGGGCGGGGCTGCAGCACGTGACTGCGCGCCCACGTGACCGCCGATGGCCGGGACGGGCCTCGCACCTGCGGAGCACCTTTTACTCTGAAAAGCACGTGCGCCACATTCCGGCGCCTGTCGCGCCGTCTGCTCCTTTCTTCGCCTGCAATCGGTCGGCGCTGTGCCGTGGGCTCCGAACCCGCGGGACTGGGTGCGGGATGAATACACAGGCCCCTGCCTGCGACTCTAGCCTGGGGTGGGAGCTGAAAACCGGTGCCCTCCGCGTGAGCAATTGGCAGTATCCGTCAGAAGCGGACAAGTGCGGTCCGCTTGGCTCCCGTGAGGCACCTCGAGGGGTCACTGCCTTGTGAGGCGGCTGGAAGGAAGGGCTTCTCCGGGAAGGCCCGCTGTCTGCGGCCGTGGCTTGTGGCTTGGCCAGGAGCCGTGTTGTGTAGGGGGCCATGACCGCGGGTCCTAACACCCAGGGGCTGGAATGGGGGCTTATTCCACTGTGGCCTCGCAGGTCTCCCCAGGGGCAGCATCAGTGAAGTCCCTGCCCTCGGGCGGCTGGTGCCCGCTTCCTGCTTGGGATTTACTGTTAGCCACTAAATATGTCAGCAGGTGTCACAGCCAAGGCAGGCTTGGTTGGGGAGAAAGGAGTCCATGTTGTCAAGCCTGGGCCTCGTCTCCTTCCCTGTCTCCATGGCCATTTTGGTCCGAGGGTTAAACAAGCATCCTTAGGGTGGCTGGAGAGTCTGACCGGCAGCTGCAGATGATTTGCACGTGATTGAGCCTTCCTGCACTGGAGCCCTTTCATGTGGGCCATGAATCTTCTCAAACTCTGGGCCTGCTCCAGAGTCCATCCATGTGCCTCATGGGCCAGGCTCCTTGACACTAATTCTCTAGCCCTTTGTTATAGGGGCTCCGAAGGGGGGCGCTGATGGAATGTGCTGCTCAGAGGCGTTTCCCTGCCTTCCCCCAGGGCCACCTTTCACCTGTAACTGCACATAAATGCCTGGCTTCTCAGACTCAGAAGACACCCTCTACCCTGTGGGGAAGATTCAGGCTCACAGACAGCCCCGTGGGTGCCTTTCAGGGAGCTACACACACACACACACCCCACCCGTGGCAGCAGCAGGTCTGTCTGGAAGGTCAGCCCAGGGTCCTGTGACCCTGCTGGCTGTCACTGGTGCTGCAGAAGGCCCTGCCCGATGGCTTTGCCTAGGCCTTCACTGCAGGTCCTGCCTTAAATGCCCATGGCAGCTGTCCATCTGGGGTTATGGTGGCTTCCCTTGGTCCTCCTAGGAGTCTTTTGTTTGCCCTCCAGCCCCCCCTTTCTCTTCTCTAAAACCGACCGGAAGCAGAGGGCAAAGAGCTGAGTGGCTGTATGCCATGAGAGCCGGCAAGGAGAAGGGACACAGAGGGGGGAAGGCCGGCTCTCCTTAGCTTCTTCCTGCCTGGCCAGGGTCCACATGCTCCGCTAAGACAGCCTGGCTCCCTCGGTGCCTACACATCAGCTTCAGGTACCACAGGGCCCAGGAACTGCTTCAGGCCGTGGCACTCTGACCACTCGTGGCTGTGGCTAGTTTGGGGCGCTCACCACCCCGATTGGCTTCCTTTAACCCTGCTCACTAAGGCCGTTCATTGAGTTCCTCCCGGCTGATCCTCATAGTTTGACGCCAGAAGTTTCCATCTGTTTCTTTCTCCTGGTGCTTCTCTTGATTCGAGGGAGGGGACACCCTGCTATCTGCAACAGTAGCTCCATGGACACTTTTTACAGGAAAAGGTTCCACACAAATTCAGATTTTTTTTCCCTCAAAGGATTTATATCCAGAATGTTCCTGGGGGTAAGTTTATTTTAGAAACTGCAGTTTTTCCTAGTTATAAAGCTGGATAGCAAGATTTCTCAACACTTGAATTTTAAGCAGTTTTTTAAGGAAGAAATGACACCTGCCTGGCCCTGTGGGCCCTGCCCCACTGGGGATGGACAGTGGGGTGAGCTGGGCCCATAACCCATCCTCTGCTACAAGGTAACCTTTTTCAATCCCAACCCATAAGCCAGCTCAGGCTCAGCCTTTGAACCCTCCCATCCCTGTCCCCCCATCAACATGTGTAGGGCCCATAGCAGTGTCTGGTTCCATGGTGTAATGGTCAGCACTCTGGACTCTGAATCCAATGATCCGAGTTCAAAGCTCAGTGGGACCTGTGTGTGCCTTTTGTTCCACCCCCACACCTTCCACTGAACAGTAAGGTTTCTTAGAACTTCTATTTTAAGCAGTTCTGTATGGAAACATGGCTCCCCTTTTGTCCCCTCCTCTGCCCTCTAGGGCCCCCTCCCCCTTTCACTCAGGCTCAGGCCCCTGGGCCAGCTGTTGGCTCCGGCAGTAGAGGTGAGAGCACTCCGTGAGGTGGAGCCTGGAGCACACGGCGGCCCTGGCTGGGGAGAGAGCAGCAGCATTCACCCAGTGCCCCACACCAGACACTCAAACTGTTTATTCCGTAATCAGAGATGGATCTACATTACTGCAGAGGATGGACCCACTGTAAATAGAGTGAAGGCAGAAAATAGGTAATTTCACACGTCCCAGTCATCAACCCAGATGATGCACAGGTACAGTCACACATGAATGAGGGAAATTTAACAGGCCGAGGGTTAGATTTCAAGAACCATGTCACCCACCTGTTAACAAGATCCAAGTGCTCGCAGAAACCAGTGTCGCTCAGTGGATAGAGCGTCGGCCTGCGGACTGAAAGGTCCCGGGTTTGATTCAGGTCAAGGGCAAGTGTCTTGGTTGCGGGCACATCCCCAGTGGGAGGGAGGGAGGGGTGCAGGAGGCAGCTGGTCGATGTTTCTAGCTCTCTAGCTCTCTGTAAAAAATATATTAAAAAAAAAAGCCGAAACCGGTGTGGCTCAGTGGATAGAGTGTCGGCCTGCGGACTGAAAGGTCCCGGGTTCGATTCCGGTCAAGGTCATGTACGTTGGTTGCGGGCACATCCCCAGTAGGGAGTGTGCAAGAGGCAGCTGGTCGATGTTTCTCTCATCAACATTTCTAGCTCTCTATCTCTCTCCCTTCCTCTCTGTAAAAAATCAATAAAATATATTTAAAAAAAAAAATATATATATATATATTAAAAAAAAAAAAAAGATCCAAGTGCTCCAGAAACCAGCACCAGGCGGCCCCATGCCACAGGACGGCCCACCGTGCAAGTGCTGGGCTTTGGTGGCTGCCACCTGTGTGGTCATTTGTGGATCAACTGCTCTCTTCCTTCTCATTTGGGGCAGAGGGCTGCCGGGAGCTGAGGGGAGTGGCTGGGCCCACAGGGAGAGAGGCGGACACAGAGGACGCTATCTCACCAACTGTGGGGCGGGCCGGCCGGCCGGCCTTCCTCTGGACCTTCTCCGCTCGATGTCCCGGCTGCTTGATGACCCCCCAGGGAGGGACCGAGCAGGGAGTCCAGCTCTCCCTTCTCTATCCTTCTGTCTGTGACACCTGTCACCCTCGCCAGGCCTCCCCCAAAGTGAGTTCAGCTCAATCCCTGAATGTAACAGGGCACCTCTATTCATGCCCCCCAATTCCCAGCGACAGGACCTGGTCTCAGGACGGTGGCCACAGCCGCAGAACGTAGATCGGTTTCAAGAAAAGTTGGGAATGCAGACTTCCGTATGAGCCCGTTTCAAAAGGTGGTAGTTTATTCACATTGTGGCAAAGACACCTTCAAGAATAACTTAAGTGGGTCCAGTCAGGGCTAAGCCGGGCCATTTCCTCACCCAATCTCTCAGGGGCGTGGACAGAACACAGTCTCAGCTCTTCCCAGGACACTGAGAGGTTTTTAAGCCTAAAGGACGGCCGCCTGTCTCCATTGTTCTTTGGGATTTTTTCATCGTCAGATAAAAGGATGCATACATTGGGGCAGTCCTCCTCTCCAGAAACAATATTCCAGATGCACCATGTGAGGACTGCGGCGCCCCTCAGAGGAGGGAGCCAGCAGAGGGGAGCAGGGAATTCTGAAAACCAAAGCGATGACAGAGACACAGCCTTTCCTCACGCATCTGACACCCTCCTCAGGCGCCTGCGGGACCTTTACCACTTGATGTCCCGGCTGCTGGCAGGCTGCCCTGGGCCCTGGCAGGCCCTGTGCAGGGCCGCCTGGGCCCGAGGGGAGTCGGCCCCGCCCAGCCACTCCTGGTACAGCTCCTGCACGTGGGCGCTGGTCTCCGGGGGCCGCACCGGGATGGCAGCGTAGATGCCTTCCATCTGCCTCAGCAGCACCCTGTCTGCACGCCCGTCCTCCGCCTGGGCCTGGCCCCTGCCGCTGAGGCATCCTGAAAGGCAGGTGGGCGCTCACTCTCCCCCGTTCCGTCCTACAGGGAAGGGGTCCCAGCAGGAAGGAGGGCACAGGGGCCCAAGGCCCGGGACCCTGGCCTAGGCTCTCGGTCTGGGACCCCGCTCTTTCCTGTTTCCACGGCCCAGGAAGTGCCTTTACCTGAAACCAAAGTACTTTGCTGACCTTCAGCCCTGAGGGCTGTGTGTGCACATCTGGTTCCAGTTCCCTGGACTCACCGAACCAGGAGCACAGACACAGCACGAGCAGCCGTGTCCTGGTGTCTGCAGCACACAGTGCACTGCGGCCCCTCCCCCCACCTCACCCCCCACCCCCACCCCCACCTCCCACGCCCGAAAGCTTGGCCTCCGGCACGGAGCTGCATGCTCTCAAATGCGTTAGGTGATGTCCCGATTCTCAGGAGATAAATTCATTTAGGAGAATTTGAAGCAAATTTCCGCCTGGCCAGGCCTCTCTCCACCTCTCCCCCTTGTCTGAGGCAGACCCCCAGCCTGAGGCAGCCCAGCTCTGCCCCGACTGCATGGATGCTGGACCAAGGGGTTTCCAAGGTGACACCAGAGCACCTGCTCTCTTCCCGCGCGGTGGGTGTGAGGAGAGGGAGGTGCTGATGTGTCACGACAAGGAGGGCAAAGCCATGGGGACCGAGAGGCTCGGCGGGCGCGGGGGCCCCCAGAGGCCCTGGCGCTCTTACCCCCGGCGCAGGCCAGCACCTCCACGAAGTGGTAGGGGAACTTGCCCCGCTTCAGCTTCAGGACCACGTTCTGGACGTTCCGGAAGCCGTACGCAGCCGCGAAGCGCAGCAGCACCTGCCCGTCCCTCTCCAGGGCGACCTCCTGGAAGTCTTTGTTCCTGGAACACAGACACGGGCCTGGCTGGCGAGTCCACTTCAGCCGCTTGTCATTTCCACTCTACAGACAGGACAGCCCTGCCCCAGCGCGCGCGCACACACACACACACACAGGTGCACGCACGCTGACGTGCACACACATGCACACGCACTCGTGCATGCACACACACGCACGTGCACAGGTGCACGCACGCTGACACGCACACACACGCACAGGTGCACGCACGCGCGCGCACACACACACACACAGGCGCACGCACAGGTGCACGCACACACACGCTGCACACACATGCACACACACGTGCGCATGCACACACGCACGCACGCTGACACGCGCACACGCGTGCGTGCGCACGCTGACACGCACGCTGACACGCACACACACGCACAGGTGCACGCACGCACGCACGCATGCTGACGCGCACACACATGCACATTGGCTCTGGGGGATCTACCCCAAAGGCCGTGCTGGCCACGCGAGCAGACGCACCTCAGGCTGCGGTAGGTGAGCGCCCCCACGTCCTCGTTGAACAGCTCCTTGGCCGCGTGCCTGAAGACGTGCGCCAGGTACCCGTCGGAGCTGGCCCCCTCGTGGCGCCTCACCTCCTCCTCCTTCACATCGCCAAACCTCGTCAGGCAGAGAAAAGCGACAGGAATTACAGCAGATTTCAACGTGTCCTGACCCAGGGCTGCCACATGGCAAGTGAGACCCTTCACAAACCTTCAGCTCCAGCAAGACCCCAGCACCCTCAATGCCACCCGTGACTCCCCTTCGCTGCTGCACTGCCTCAGGGTGTCCCCAGAGCCTCAGACCGGGCTGAGCCTGCCTGAGCCCCCAGGACCGGGTACACGGTCAGCCTGGCTCAAGCACAGGCTGCGGCCATGGTACTTGCATGGCTAAGAGTCTGTAACCTCAGTCCAGCCTCCCAAAAGGGCCACACCTAGTCCTGGTGCCACTACGGGCAGGACCGCCGAGTGCCCAGGAGTGCTCGCACGCAGGAGCACCGGTCACTGGCTGGGTCACCCTGGGTGCAAAGGGACCCAAGGAATCTGCTGTTTCCCTAAGACAACCGCCCAGGCAGGTGTCCCTGTGCCCACGTCTCAGCACAGCCCCCAGTAACGCAGGAGCCCTGGGACCACCCCCCAAGACCTCACGGAGGCCCATCCACAGGCGGCCGCCCTGCAAGAGCCACTTACAGGGTATCCACGACGGCGTCGCTGACGGACAGGTCACTCTGCTCCATCATCTGGGCAATCTCACCTGCGGACACAGGGAGGCGCTGGGCCAGGGGACACCCCGCGTCCCCCGGCAGCTCCCAAAGTCACCTTCTCCCCAAGGGAAAGTCTAGGTCAGGTTTCCGGGTGTTGTCCCGCTCACAGACAGCAGGGGGCCCACCTCAAGTGCAAAGTAACACCAATAAAATGAAGAATGCAGATAAAACGAAAGAGAAGCTCTCATTCCTCCTTTTGCTCTTGAAATGAGGCTCTCTGCAAACAATCCCTGTTTGTTTTCAAGCGGAAAACTCTGACAGCCTCACAGGGAGCGAGCCGCAGCACAGAGGCCTGTGGCCCAACGAGACCGACCGGCAATCAGAACCACTTTGGACTCCCCTCTGCACCCGACTCCCGCGGGCTCCACTGGCCACACACGCCCTCGACCCGAGCACAGGCCCTGCGCAGGCTGCAGCACGACCCGCAGCACACGCATGTTTCCACTTCACGGAAAGAAACCGCCATGCGTGCCCCGGCGCAGGCTGGGCTGACAGAACTCCATGGCGAGGTGGGACTGCCCCCCATGCCGTCTCTCCCCCAGCCCGGGCCATGCGCGCGCGCACACACACACACACACACACGCACACGCACGCGCGCGCGCACGCAGGCAGGGGGGTGCTGCCCTCTCACTGTCCTGGTCCTGCCAGAGCCCCCTCGCCCCGCACCTGGCCCTCCACCTCTCACCTGAGGTTAACACACAGTCAGCACCCCGGGAGCTGTGCGAGGCTGTGGGAACGTCTTCTCGGAGAGCCTCCAGTTTCTTGTCATAACACGGGGCCACGATGACGTGGAAGATCTTGTCTGGGGACAGGTTCTGTGGAGACGAGCAAACTGTCCAGGCCGCGGAGAGCCCCCCAGCTGCCACCCGCCGGCCCCCCTCGGTGCCCGCTGCTCTGGGTGGAGCCGCTCCACAGCCCTGTTCCCACCAGCTCCGCCCGGGTCTCCGTGGCTCGCCTCAGTTCCTGTCCCGTCAGCCCCTGTGCAGTCCCGGCTCCCCTCTCGTGCTGACCGCCGGGAAGAGGCCGGCTCACCTGCCGTCTGGCGAAGTAATCCTTCACCAGAGAGCCCATGATCTGCTGGGGAGACTTGGCCGTGCAGAGGTGGGGGGTGATGGGGTGACCCAGCACGCGCTCCGCATAGCGGACCCAGCCTGGGGAGAGACGGGGCTGCGTCAGTTCCTCCGCTGCTCCCACCCACATCGGACCCCGAGCTCCCGCGACCTGCCGGCCTCCCCGGATGTGCCGGGGCCGGCCAGGGCCGGGCTCACCGGGGCAGGCGGCCGGGGCCGGGCTCACCGGGGCAGGCGGCCGGGGCCGGGCTCACCGGGACAGGCGGCCGCGGCAGGGCTCACCGGGGCAGGCGGCCGGGGCCGGGCTCACCGGGGCAGGCGGCCGCGGCCGGGCTCACCAGGGCAGGCGGAGGTCAGCATGGGCAACTGGGGCTCTTCCTCGCGGTGCTGGCGGTACCGACGCACAAACTCCTTCTGACTCTCCAGGATGCTGAAGTCTGCCGCGATCGTCATGTCAAAGACATAGTGCACCCCTGCGGGAAGGGGCGGCAGCTCACACACTCTGGCCCTGAGGGACACGCTGAGCGGAGTCTGCAGGCATCCCTCCTGGGCACTCACTCCCCTCAGCTCTGGCTCCATCACTGACCGGGAAGTACAGGACTGAGCACTTTTTCTTAAACAATAGCACATATTTTTCATAATAAAACACCTACTCTCTTCTACTTCCTGCTTTTCTCTCTACATCTTATAAGCACCTCACAGTACTCCACACGATTAATGGAATATTCCCAGGCATTCTGTCCCAATTCACTGTCTAAACTAAACTTCAGTCGGTAATGATCCTTGACATCTTTAAAATAAATAAAACGAGTAAGCTGGCTGAGTACACCTTTATGATCTTAAGTTTATGTTGATTTTTAATTAGCCATCTTTTTCTTAATAAGTTTTCTTACTATTTCAAGTGAATAAACTTGAAATAAAAGAATGTATTTTCAATAATTAAAGAGAAATTAAGCGCCGAAGCCGGTTTGGCTCAGTGGGTAGAGTATTGGTCTGCGAACTCAAGGGTCCCGGGTTCAATTCCGGTCAAGGGCATGTACCTTGGTTGCGGGCACATCCCCAGTGTGGGGTGTGCAAGAGGCAGCTGATCGATGATTCTCTCTCATCAATGTTTCTAACTCTCTATCCTTCTCTCTTCCTCTCTGTAAAAAAATCAATAAAATATATATATTTTTAAAAAGAAATTAAGCAGCCGAGACCGGTTTGGCTCAATGGATAGAGCGTCGGCTTGGGGACTGAAAGGTCCCGGGTTCGATTCCGGTCAAGGGCATGTACCTTGGTTGCGGGCATATCCCTGGTGGGGATGTGCAAGAGGCAGCTGATCGATGACTCTCTCATCGATGTTTCTAACTCTCTATCTCTCTCCCTTCCTCTCTACAAAATCAATAAAATATGTTTAAAAAAAAAAAAAGAAATTAAGCAAAGAAGTTTGTCTAAACCTTAAAAGCAGCCAGTTATCCTTAAGAAATATAGTAACCCTAGCCAGTGTTGCTCAGTGGATAGAGCATCGGACTGAAAGGTTCCAGGTTCAATTCAAGGGCACAAGCCCGGGTTGTGGGCTCGATCTCCAGGAAGGGATGTGCAGGAGGCAGCTGATCAATGACTCTCTCATCATTGATGTTTCTATCTCTTTCCTCTCTGAAATCAGTAAAAATTAAGTCAATAAATAAAATTAAAAAAAGAAATGTAGTAAATATTCTAAATGTGATCTAAAACCATGACCTTAAGGAGTTAGTTCACTGTGAATGAAGATCTCTTCAGTATTAACAGTAAACAGTGCCCACCTGTTTACTTTTTTAAACTGTCAAGGGAAGGCCTTTCGCTCGAAGGTCACACAGCACCGAACAACTCGCTCTGTGGTGAAGCAGGGCACACCACACCCTCGGCTTCTACGAGTCAGGAGGCGGCTCAGGGGCCGGCTCCGGGCCCTGCTGTGCGCCAGGAGCAGCAGGCGCCCCTGCTAGCTCTGAGCCTCGTCCCCAACGTCTTCACGTCGGTGGAGAGCTACTGGAGTGACAAAAGCTGTTCTCTGGCAAGTGGCTCATGTTCCCCCGGAGCCGCCCGCGGTGGCTGCAGGAGGCCGGAGCCTCCAGGGCGGGCAGTTCCAGTCGGACATCAGCGGACAAGGGAGCCTCCTGTTGCCGGGCAGAGCCCTCCAGAGCGCCTCTCATCTGGGTCCCTGCCTGCTCCGAGCCGCTGCCTTCCTTTCCTGCTTCACAGGAGGCCGCAGAGGACACAGTCTGCTGCCTCTGCCGGCTCTTCTGAGCTCCCAGGAGACCAGACGCCACTCCTGCAGCCGTCACTCCCCAACAGAGATGACCCAGGGGCCCCGAGAGCCAGGGCAGCAGGACACGTGACCGGGCCAGCCTGTCCAAGCCGGTCACTCGCCGCTCCGGGGGGGGGCGTCCAGCAGTAATGCAACACCCGGCCCCACGGCAAGCGGCCAGGGCACGGCCACGTGGTCAGAGGCAGGTCACCGACGTTCCCACCCTGAGCCCAGAAAACTGAACTCTGGTATAAAAAGGCAGGGACAAGCTCCCGTCCCACATCACGTGACACCACAGGCCTCACCCAGGCTTTTGAGGAAGCCGCAGAGCCTTCTGGATGCATCCGTGACACTGAGGCTGAATTTAGCAGCAAAATAAGGCAGAGACTGAGGACACACGGACACTGCCAGCACCTTGTGCTGTGAGGTATCACATTTCTAGGAGGAAGAGAGAAGACCGTCACACGGGTGGTGGTTCCATCTAATGAGGGACCCAGAGCAGCCGGAGGTAGGCGACAATCTGTGTGAAGACTGGGAAAGTGGCAAACACTGGCAAGAATAACTGAAGAAAAATCACATTTAAGATATGGGCCATCCCAAGAGATTTTGTCGACTTTAAGAACAATGGTGTACTGATAAATCCAAATATCTGGAGGAAAAGGATCATTTTAAAGGAAAATGATAGACATGGAGGAGGAGGGACACCTCCACACAAACATCTGGGGCGACCAGCCCTGCACCGAAGGCCACGCAGCAGCACCACTGAGCCGCACGCTCTGGGAGGAGGTTCTGTGGGCGCCGTCCTCAACTGCCCGGCACACTCACTGCAGCTCCACTCCGAGCCCCAGCTGGACGGCCCCGCGCCGGGCCCCTGTGCTGCGCGGGGCCGGTGCCCAGTCGGTGAGGGAGGTGGCTGGGCCGGCTGGTTTTGCTCTGAGGGACCCTGCAGAGGGCTGGCTAGGGCACATGACCCAGGGCCAGGACCAGGCTGCATGCAGTCCCAGGAGAGGCGTCTGCGTCCCGCTTTGACCCCCACCCTCTCTGCAGGCCAGGGTGCCAGGGAGCACGGGACCCCTTACCTTATTCAGGTTCAGAACACGGAAGAAGTCCTTGGCGTTCTGCTGGGAAACCTGGACTCCCTCCTCTGCGGTCACACAGCTGTCACACGCCAGGCAGTCACTCAGAAACACCTTGGCCTCGGCCAGCTTGTGGAACTCTCCCGTCTGCGAAGGATAGACGTCCGGCCGGCTCTTAGCCCAGGACCCTCCCACGTGGTCTCAGGGAGCAGGAGCCCAGGCCCGGCCCGAACACCCATGGGAGGACACGCACTCCTGCGCCTGGCCCACCCAGGCCCACACCCTGCCTCCCACGCAGGACTGCCTCCTCATGAGGATCCTTCGATGCCCCCGCTGCTCAGCCAGCCGAAGCCGCCCTTCAACACATCAGACCTGTACCCTGAACACTTGGGGCTCCCACCACCCCTCCCCAGACCACTCTGTCCACGCCTTCTCTGTGCCTGGAGGGCTCGCCCCCGACCCCCATTCTCACCCCCAGGGCCCACTCCAGCAGCCCCTTCCCTGGTGAGCCCAAGCTCACAGCGTGTCCACCCACCGAGCTGGCGGGGGGCCCGCCTCGGCTGTGTACATGTTATCTTGCCGTGACCAAAGCCCAGGGGGAGGGAAAGAAGTAAACCAACTCCCCGTGTCACTGATAAGGAACCGGGGCTCCCAGGGTTCGATGGCTGCCAGAGGTGATGCAGCCAGAGGGCAGGTGCGGGGCCCCAAGCCCCTGCTCAGGGATGCAGGGCCTGGGCAGGCCCTGCTTTCTGCCCTAGACCCTGGGTGCTGGCCTCACTCCCTGCACTTCCTGAGCTCAGAGCAGTGCTGGAGCACAGGGACCAGACGGACGCCCGTCAGACAAATGTCCTCTCATGCCACTGACCCACAAGGACACAGCACTCGCGTCCCCGGGGCTGCCGCCTCCATCGGGGAACTGGGGCCAGGACCCTCTAAGCCTTAGAGGGAAGCAGTGCCCTATCCTCCCTACCCAGTGCCACCTCCTCTCTGCTCGGCGGGGATGGCGGTGGGGCAGCTCAAAATGCCAGTCCTAAGCAGTGAGCCCTCCCAACCAAGCACTTCCTCTGGGGTCCAGCTCGGCATCTGTGCCCAATAAGCCACCAGCTAAGGATTTAACACCCCACAACTGGGCCGGTGAAGAAACTGTTAGAGAAATGCATTTACAGAACCATGAGACCGGAATCACTGAATAAATCCCCCACCTGAACGCCCATTTTACAGAGTGGAACTTTTGTTTTTAAAAAAAGAACTGGAGGTTCACATCACACCACTGTTTCTAACAAATGACCAAGGACGGCGTTCTGCTTTGTTCCCATGAGTGTTCTGCCATGCTTTGGGGTGACGAGCTCCTTGGCCCTGTTCCCACTCCCATCTCACTTCTCTTTCTCAGAGCACAGAGACAGGGTGACCGGAGCCTGCAGGGGGAAAGCCAGCAGCTGCTGCCTCAGGGCTGACACGGAACGGAAAACTCCACTTGCCTCTCCATTCTCCGGGGCCGGACTCGGGGCATCGGCTGAGGCATTCTCTTGGTCATCGGTTTTTGTTTTTTTGCTACATTCCTTGAAAAGGCACAGAAACAGATAAAAGAACTTGGACTCTCTGAAATTAAAAAACACATACCTATTCTGTCACTTAACCTCGTGAATGGAAATGTTTTCTAGGTAAATAAAAGGACATGTAGCCTTAGATCCGTGGTCGGCAAACTGTGGCTCTCGAGCCACATGCGGCTCTTTGGCCCCTTGAGTGTGTCTCTTCCACAAAATACCACGGCCTGGGCGAGTCTATTTTGAAGAAGCGGCGTTAGTTTAGGTTTAAAAAATGTGGCTCTCAAAAGAAATTTCAATCGTTGTACTGTTGATATTTGACTTTGTTGACTAATGAGTTTGCTGATCATTGGACAGCTGGTTTGGCTCAGTGGATAGAGCATTGGCCTGCAGACTGAAGGGTCCCAGGTCTCATTCTGGGCAGGGCACATCCAGGGTTGAGAGCTTGATCCCCAGTGTAAAGTGTGCAGGAGGCAGCCAATCCACAGTTCTCTTCCATCACTGATGTTTCTCTCTCTTCCTCTTTGAAACCGTATCTAAACCTGAAACCATATCTAAACACGAAATAAAATGAAGGCACATGTTCCCGCCCACCACCTCACCTGCACATTCCCATTAGCTGAAACCAGGACACCAGGTGCCTTGCATTAATAGGGAAATTAGGGCTGGACTCCCTGGACACACATGGACTTAGAACCCAGCGAACTAGACATACAAGAAATGCTCTGACAAGCCATTTCCTGCATCACGTTAGGTTAAAAAAAAGAGAGCATCTGAAGGAGTAACATTTACAACGTGAATCAACTGTTAAAAAAACAAAAACAAAACGATCCTTCTGCCCGCACTGCGTGGTTATGATGTTATTCCGGCCCAGAAACAGTGGAAGGCTAACGAGTTACCATGGTTACACAGGTGGCGAGGCGGGCCACTCTTCTGTATTGTTTTGTTTTGTTACTACAAGCACTTACGTTTTTGCCAAATTTAAAAAAAAAAAAAAAACACAAAAAATACGAAAAACATCGTATCAAGGGTTGACATCCACAATGGGGTTTGCTCTGACAGCCCTGAGAGGTAACAGGTTGTTCTACTTTTCTGGGGGTTTTGGCTTAAAAAAGAAAAAAAAAAGCATTTTGAATGGCTGGTCAGCGATCCGGGAACCAGAGCCGGCGGCGAAATCGGGGGAGGAACCCGGACCGCGGCGGCAGCACCAGCACCGGGGCCGCGGCAGGGTCAGCGCTCAGCCCCGTCGGAATGGATCCACCCGAACCCAGACGGGCCAATCCGGGCGGCCCGCGTCCGCCCCGGCCCCGAGGCCGCGGTGAGGCCGCCGGAGCTGCCGACCCAGACGCGGCGCCGCCCACGCTCCCGCGGCCGCGCGGGGGACGGGGCTCCCGGGCCCTCGGCGATCGCCCCCGACCCCTGACCCCCAGCCGCACCGACCCGGACCGCGAGGCCCGGCCCCTGACCCCGACCCCGGCCGCACCGGCCCACCTTCCGCGTGCAGTGCTCACACTTCATCTGCGCGGGGCGGGCGGGCGGCGCGCGTGACCTGCAGGAGCCCGGGAGCGCGGTCACCGCGCCGGCCGCCCGCCGCCCTTTGTTGTAGTCGCCCCCGGCGCGGCCCCGCCCCGCGGCGCCGCTCGGCCAATGGGAACGCGGTGCGGGGGAGGGCTGGGCCCCGCAGCCAATCGGAACGCGCGGGGGCGGGGCGGAGGCCGAGGTCGCGAAGGCGCCGAGCGAGCGGCGGGCGGCCCGGGGCGGGAGCTGGCGCGGTTCCGGGGTGCTCGCGGCCCGCAGCCCGGCGCCCGGCGCGCGCCACCCGCCCGGCGCAGGCCCGATGGAGACGGTGCCGCCCTGGCGGGGAGGAGCTGGAGTGCGGCCCCGGCCCGCCGCCATTGCCGCCCCGAGGCGCGGCACGTAGGCCTGGCGAGGCGGCAGTGCGCACGCGCGGCGGGAGCCGGGCGCACGTGGTCCCCGGAGCACGAGGGCGCTGGCGCCGGTCCCGTGTCTCGCCCGGCATGTTGGTGACTCTGCCCTCGCACTTCACCAGGAATTCTTTTTTTCTTTTTTTGCACTTTTTATTTTTTAATTTTTAAAATATATTTTATGGATTTATTTACTTATTTTTTACAGAGAGGAAGGGAGAGGGATAGAGAGTTACCGGTAGAAACATCTATGAGAGAGAAACATTGACCAGCTGCCTCCTGCACACCCCCCACTGGGGATGTGCCCACAACCAAGGTACATGCCCTTGACTGGAACCCGGGACCTCTCAGTCCACGGTCTATCCACTGAGCCAAACCGGTTTCGGCACCAGGAATTATTTTTCTCCAAGAAATGGGACCACGCGTAGGGCTAAAGGGAAATGTTCAACTGGTAATAACGAATGTTTTCTAAAGTCAGCGCACACACCTCCAGGACCAGCAGAACTGAAAACAGGCCGGAAGCATTCAGGGGAGAGGAAGCCAAGGATCTCATGGGTGTCTTTGTCTTTATCAGACACCAGCATTCCTCGGGAATCCCAGAACCTCACAATCCCAGAGGTCAACAAAATATTTGAAGGCTAGTCCAGGTCCCAGAAACCTCACCAGGGTCTTCAGAATTTTCCCCCATTAAATTTTTTTTAATTTATATATAGAGTTTTGGGTGCATACAGCTTTTTATAAATTGTGAAGGAAAAGAGCCACATGCTAACCTGACAAGCTCAGGGGAGGCCTGCGTGGCAGCCTTGCAAACTCAGAGACCTAACATAACCACCAAAGATGGTTTGAAAATGAAATATCTAACTACAAATAGGTTATAGTGGGTAGTCAGGTCCTAGGCCGATATCTCACCTGACAAAGATCAGCTTAGATCTTTTTTTCTGAGCCCATCTGCCTTTGGGCCTCTAAGATAACGTATCTGTGAGATGTCTGGGTAACTTGTAACTTCCCTTTTTCCGGAGCCTCTGGGGCACAACCAAATGTGGTGGGAGCCAGGACAGATGCCTCAAATTCCTTTGTTGTCATGTTAATTGTTCCTGTACTCACCTAAGTACTCGTCCATCATTTCACTTTTATCCAATCCCAGGGGTTTCCCACCGCTTTGCTTTCTCCTGCCTCCTTACTCCATCACCAATGAATTTCATGTAACCCACCTATGTCCCTCCTTTGATTTCACTGTATAAATAGAGAAATGTAACTCGTCATTCTTCAGAGCATTACTGTTGAGGTTCTGCTTCCCGGCATATATCAACAGTTTGGCTCAAATAAACACACTAAAGTTCTTTACAGGTTTCAATGGTTTTTTTCATTAACAAAATGCATCCCTTTAATTCAAGTCTTAACATTCTCCTTTGCTTAAATCTATGTCAGCACCACTAGAAAGATATCTTCCATTTCAGCATGAATAAGAGGATAATTTTAGGTAGTCATATATATATTTACAGAGAGAAAGGGAGAGGGATAGACAGAAACATCGATGATAGAGAAACACCATCAGCTGCCCCCTGCACACACTCTACTGGGGACGTGCCCACAATGAAGGTACATGCCCTTGACTGGAATTGAACCCAGGACCCTTCAGTTTGCAGGCTGACGCTCTGTCCACGGAGCCAAACAAGTCAGGGCTGTATATACTTTTGTTAATGTTTTGAAAACAAAGAATGCCATAGTGTGGAGGGGAGGGAAGAAAGCAAAGTACAGGCACTTAATTTCATTTAAAAATGTAGTCAGTGTCACCCCAGCTGGTTTGGCTCAGTGGATACAGCGAGGGCCTGCAGACTGCAGGGTCCCGGATTTGGTTCCCAGTCAAGGGCACATGCCTGGATTTCGGGCTGGATCCTCGGGGGGGGGGGGGGGGGCATGCCAGAGGCACCCAATCAATGATTCTCTGTCATCACTGACATTTCTGTATCTCTCTCGCTTTCTTCCTTCCTCCCTGAAATCAATAAGAATATATTTTGAAAAAAATGCAGTCAGTGTCTAGGTTTCCCCAAGCACCTCATTCTTTTTTTAGTTTAAGTTGGGTCTAAATAAGGTCCAATATGTTCCAATAATCTCTATTTAATTGATTTAGATTTGTGTGTTTCTTTTTAATATATATATTTATTGGTTTCAGAGAGAAATGGAGAGAATTAGAAACATTAGTGATGAGAGAATTATTGACCGGCTGCCTTCTGCACGCCCCCCATCTGAGACTGAGCATGAAACTCTGCTATGTGCTCTTGACAAGAATTGAACCTAGAGCCCTTCAGTCCGCAGTCTGATGCTCTATCCCCTGAGCCAAGCTAGCTAGGGCTGGTTTGTGTTTGTTAAGTTGATACCCTGGAAAATTCCACTTTGCATATTGTTATTTGCATAATTCCACGTTTTCCTCTAGATTATAAGCATTTAAATATGAAGTCTGCACTGGCATTCTACTAATATTAAATAAGGGAGCAAGAGATATCTGATTTGGTTAAAATCTTGATGACTATTGGTAAGAGCAAAAGACTGGAAATAAATACGATCTCTATAAATAGGAGACTGAGTGAATAACCTCTGCATATCGTGCCTGTTATCCATGCTTTATATGTCAGCTCCAAATTCAAACTTCAGTGCCTGCTCTGTTTACTTCCTATCAGCCCAGTTTACTTCCTATCAGCCTCCCTTGGTGCAACCCCCAGTTGTTAATTCATTAGACTAAACCCTCTGTTCAAAGTATGGGGCGGTTTCCCTCTCCTGAACGGACCCTGCCGAATCCATCCCCACACCGCGCAGTGCTGGCCTCCAGGCAGGGGGCCGCGAGCGCCTGCCTGGGGCGGGTCGCCGAGTGCTCCGCGGTGCACCTGCCGCTCTGCGGTGCACCTGCCGCTCTGCGGGCTCTGCCGCTCTGCGGACTCTGCCGCTCTGCCGCCTCCGCGGTGCACCTGCCGCTCTGCGGGCTCCGCGGTGCACCTGCCGCTTTGCGGGCTCCGCGGTGCACCTGCCGCTCTGCGGGCTCTGCCGCTTCTGCGGGCTCCGCGGTGCACCTGCCGCTCTGCGGGCCCTGCCGCTCTGCGGGCCCTGCCGCTCTGCGGGCCCTGCCGCTCTGCGGGCCCTGCCGCTTCTGCGGGCTCCGCGGTGCACCTGCCGCTCTGCGGGCTCTGCCGGGCGCCGGGCTGGCGGGGCCGGTCCTCCCCCTCCCTCCCCGGGGGCTGGCGGGGCCGGTCCTCCCTCCTCCCCGGGGATTAAATGCGGAAGTGGGCGCCGTTTCCCCACTCCTTGCGCCAGAGCCCGGCCGTTGGGAAGACGCGCCACCGCCTCGCGTCCACCACGAGCTCAGCATCCCCTCCGCTCGCCCTCCCGCTCCCCAGGCCCCGCCCCGGAAGCCCGGCCCGCCCCCGCCCAGACCCGGAAGTGAGCGCCCGCCCCGTGGCCCCAGGCTCCGTCCCGCGCCGCCGGTCCGCGTTCTCGGTGGTAGGTGCTGGCGGGGGGCGCGGGCTCCGCCCTCGGGGGCGCGGGCGCGGGGCTGCAGGGGCTGCAGGGGCTGCAGGGGCGGGACGGAGCCGGGGCCGCTGCGCGGCAGGTCCCGCCGGGACGAGCCCCGCAGCTCCGGCTTCTGGCGGGACCGGCGCGGGAAGCGAGGGCGGCCCGCCGGGTTCTGGGGCCGGAGCTGAGGTCAGGGGGCTGAGACAGGTGGCAGGTAGACGGGGGCGGCGCCCGCGGACAGAGTGCGGTGCGTGTAGCGGAGCAGGGCAGGGCCTGTCACAGGGGAAGCGGCCCCCACCCCGGGGATCGGGGATCGGGGGGCCCGCTGGGTCCCCGGCTGCACGGCCCGGTCCGGCCTGGCCCCAGCTGTGCGCGCCCGCCCTCCGCAGCCGGCCTCCCGCTGAGAGTGTGTCCGCGCGGCCCCGGGATGTACATGCTGGTGGAGACGCTCTCCAGCTCCCGCCTCCACCTAAAGAGGGCGCCGGGCATCCGGTCCTGGTCCCTGCTGGTCGGTAAGGGTTTCTTCCCATATTTCACCCCAAATAAAAAACCTAACTTTAAAAATAGGTGAAGATGAAACTCACGCTTTCCTTGTTTTACTGCCGACCCCCATACACAGCCGCTGTCCTGTTTGTTTTCATCCTGTCTGTGCTGTGATGGATGATGGGTGTCTGTTTTGCCTTGTTCACCACTTGACATCCTTTAGTTAACACGGAAGGCCCATGTTACCCTACACATACACTTTTAAAAACACGTTTTTAGTGATTTTATAGAGAAGGGAGAGAGAGAGAGCAACCTCGACTGGCTGCCTCATGCCCCCCTGCTGGGGATCAGGCCTGCAACCTCATGTGCCCCCACCGGGAATTGAACCTGTGACCCTCTGGTGCATGGGACCACACTCAGCCAACTGAGCCACATGGCCGGGCCACGTTCCCCTTTCACTTGCTCTTGCGCACCTGCTCACAGGTACCTGCTTTGCCCGAAGGCCCATGTTCTGTTTCTCGCACACGTGGGAGAGGCTGCCCTGGCCTCCATCCCCGTCGCTGCCCATCAGAGGGCTCTGTACACCTGGGCAGCTACCTGGTAGCCTGGATGGCGGGTGTAAGCAGAGCTGCCTGCCTCCAGCCTTTCCTTCCCATGACTCTGCATGTGGCTCCTCCGTTTTTCTCAGCTGATATGCTGTGACCCTTTAGTAGTCCTGTCTTCATTCCGCACTTGACACTGTTGGGGTAACGCCCACGTTGGGCTCCTCCGTCCGGGATGGAGGTGGGATGGTGGTGGTCAGGCAGCAAGGTCCCTGCTTCCTCTCCGCAGGAATCCTGTCCATTGGCCTGGCGGCTGCCTACTACAGTGCAGGTGAGAAGCCGCGCCTGCTCCCCACGACCTCCTCGCGCATGGAAATCGGGGAAAAGAAGGAAAGCCTGTCACTCCGGGCCCACCGAGGCCTGGCCTCTGGGAACACCGCCCGCCCCCTGCCTCCGGGGGCACGGGGACAGCCACACTTCTGTGTGCCTCACGCCCAGCACTTCTCTTGTATCCGGGCACTTTCCTGGGTCTAAAAACGTTCCTCCAGAGGGTGCCCTCTCGTATCTGCGTAGGCTCGCTGCAGGGTGAGCCGTCTTCTCAGCCTCCTCCTCCCTCTCCCCTCCACAAGCCATGCTGTGATTGGCAGAGACCGGCTGCCCGTCTCCAGGAGACGCCAGGGGGAGCGCGGACGGAGCTGGAGGGGTGTGTCCCACGTGGCCCTGAGTGACAGGCAGAGTGGCCGTCGTGGGAGAGGGACCCCTGCGGGCCCACCGCCTGTGCCTCTGCTCTCACGTGGCCGCGTCTGTTTGTCCCCAGACAGCCTGGGCTGGAAGATCTTCTACGTCACCGGCTGCCTGTTCGTGGCCGTGCAGAACCTGGAGGACTGGGAGGTGAGGCCCCGGCCGCCCGGCTCCCTGCTGAGACAGCGCCGGGCTCGGTGCCTGTCCTCACTGCTCCTGGGCCACGGCGTCCTCTGGAGCCGTTTTTCCCCTCGGAGCTCCTCGTGGCTGTTCCTAGCCAGATCCTCTCCTCCCGAGGTCGCCGAGGCGCAGTGACACGGGCCGCCTCCTCGGGGGCCACCCTGTCCTTGTCCCTCTTCACGGTCCTTTGAGCTGCCTGGCCCCGTGCTGCTCTGACCTGTTCCCTCGCTGGGTGACCTTGGCCCCTGACCTTGACCTGAGCACCTGCCTCAGGCCCCAGGCCCCTGCTCACACCTGTCCGGAGCCTCGGTCAGGCGGCAGGTGTTTGGCTGGCAGAGCAGCGTGGGCGCTGGCCTTGGGTTCTGACTGGGATGGGAAAGGCGAGGGCGGGACCGTCGGCGAGCCAGGCCCTCCCGGGATCGTGTGGGCGGCTCCTGCCCGGCGGCCAGCAGCCGGTGACCCCGTGGCCGTTTCCAGGAAGCCATCTTCGACAAGAGCGCCGGCAAGGTTGTGCTGAAGACGTTCAGCTTGTACAAGAAGCTGCTGACCCTCCTCCGAGCAGGCCACGACCAGGGTGAGGCGTCGGCACGGACGGGACGCGGGCGACCCGGGGCTGGGCGGGGGCAGCCAGGGCTGAGTGACGGCTGAGTAATCAGGGTTGTATCCCACCCATGGGGGGACGTGGGGACCCCTCCACATGGCCCGGCCACTCAGGCTTCAGCCGCTGAGATGAAGCAGAGGGACGGGGGACAGGCAGGCCTTTCGGGGCCACGTGGGCCAGATGCTCCTTCTCACCAGCCTGGCCATCGCCCGGCAGCTGCAGGACCCTGCACCGTGGCCCCTGACCTGTGACTCCGGAGGTCGGGGTCTCGCCCGTCTCCTGGGGTTCGACCTCGGACACGGTGGCCGACGCTTTCTGTTTATGGCCAGCGTGGCGTGGTCCTCTGCAGAGCGGCCCGGAAGGGACTGCCCACACCCAGGTGAGGGACGCTGCCCCTGACCCGCCTGCCCTGCCCTGCCCCCCAGTGGTGGTCCTGCTGAACGACATCCGGGACGTGAACGTGGAGGAGGAGAAGGTGCGCTACTTCGGGAAGGGCTACGTGGTGGTGCTGCGCTTCTCCACCGGCTTCTCCCACCCCCTCACCCAGAGCGCCGTCATGGGCCACCACAGGTGAGCGGGGACGGGCGGGACTGCCAGCCCGGCGGGGCCCTCGCCCACAGCCACAGACCACCCGGCCCCTCGCCCACAGCCAGACCTCCCGGCCCCTCACCCGTCACCACAGACCGCCCGGCCCCTCGCCCGTCACCACAGACCGCCCGGCCCCTCGCCCGTCACCACAGACCGCCCGGCCCCTCGCCCGTCACCACAGACCGCCCGGCCCCTCGCCCGTCACCACAGACCGCCCGGCCCCTCGCCCGTCACCACAGACCGCTCGGCCCCTCACCCGTCACCACAGACCGCCCGGCCCCTCGCCCGTCACCACAGACCGCCCGGCCCCTCGCCCGTCACCACAGACCGCCCGGCCCCTCGCCCGTCACCACAGACCGCCCGGCCCCTCACCCACAGCCACAGACCGCCCGGCCCCTCGCCCGTCACCACAGACCGCTCGGCCCCTCGCCCGTCACCACAGACCGCCCGGCCCCTCGCCCGTCACCACAGACCGCCCGGCCCCTCGCCCACAGCCACAGACCGCCCGGCCCCTCGCCCGTCACCACAGACCGCCCGGCCCCTCGCCCGTCACCACAGACCGCCCGGCCCCTCACCCGTCACCACAGACCGCCCGGCCCCTCACCCGTCACCACAGACCACCCGGCCCCTCACCCGTCACCACAGACCGCCCGGCCCCTCGCCCGTCACCACAGACCTCCCGGCCCCTCGCCCACAGCCACAGACTGCCCGGCCCCTCACCCGTCACCACAGACCGCCCGGCCCCTCGCCCGTCACCACAGACCGCCCGGCCCCTCGCCCGTCACCACAGACCGCCCGGCCCCTCACCCACAGCCACAGACCGCCCGGCCCCTCACCCACAGCCACAGACCGCCCGGCCCCTCGCCCGTCACCACAGACCGCCCGGCCCCTCACCCACAGCCACAGACCACCCGGCCCCTCGCCCGTCACCACAGACCGCCCGGCCCCTCGCCCGTCACCACAGACCGCCCGGCCCCTCGCCCACAGCCACAGACCGCCCGGCGTGGCGGGCACAGGGGCAGAGGGCTGGGGAGGCTGGGGCAGGCGTGCCACCACCACGAGGCGATGCCAGGGTCCCACAGGACAGGCAGAGCATGGGGGCCTCCAGGGGCTCCCGCAGGACCGGGGCGGGGCTGGGCCAGGTGAGGATGGGGACGGACGGAAGGTGCCGGTCCGGTGGAGAGCTCTCGGGTGGGCAGTGCATGGTTTGGGGGAGCGGTTCTGGTCTCTGGGTGCACCGCCCTCGTGGTAACCACCTTTCTCCGGTGCTGCCGGCCCAGTGACGTGGAGGCCATCGCCAGGCTCATCACCAGCTTCCTGGACCTGCACCGCCCGGAGAGCCCCGAGGAGCTGTCTCCGAGCAGCGACAGCGAGGCCGAGGGCCCCGCCGAGCAGGGCTGACCCGGCACCCGGCGCGGATCCATGGGGCCTCAGCAGGCCAGCCCCCCTCACCACCCAGCGTGTCCCTGGCAGCCCCCCGCCCTCTGCGCACAACCACACCGGGCTCCACAGACCTGCCTCCTGGAGCCCGGTGGCCCAGCCTGGTGGTGTGGGTGTGAGTGGTGTGGCTGGTCTGGGCTGACCCACCCCACAGCCCACCAGCTGGGCATGCTCCAGCCTCTGAAAGGGGAGGGGAGCGGGCTCCCCAGGGCAGGGCCTGAGGCTGGTGTTCCCACCCCCGATTGGCTGGCCACACGTCCCGGGGAATCCGCTGGACCAACCAGAATGTGTTGGGCTGTCTGGGGGCGGACCCCCTCCCCTTCCTGTCCCATCCCCTCTGCTGGGCCACGCCCACTTGGCGAGAAGAGGTTCTCCCAGCCTCCTGCCCAGGTTCAGGCTGGGACCTCTCTGAGAAGACAGACCTGACAGCTGGGCCTGTTTGTGGGGCAGGAAGTGGGCCGCACCCACAGAACTGGGCACCGAGCACCCCAGCCGGTGCAGCATGTGGGGCTGCCGCTGCCTGGGGACACGGACCGCAGTCTACGTTCTCCCTCAGCGGGGCTGCGCCCACCTGGGCTTGGGAACGCGTTGCTGGACCTGCTAGTGGGTTCCACGTGAGCCCAGGGTGTGCCCCCCACACACACACCCAGGGTGAGGGCCTGCCCATCCTTCACCAGAACTTTCAGGGCAGTCCTGAGTGTGCAGGACTGCCCTCCTGAGGCTGAGCAGCTCCGGGCGGGGGCAGGCAGGCAGGCCTGAGCCCCGCCCCGCCCCCCGGGACTGTGGGCCCTCGCCGGCCCTGTGAACACCCGGCGGTGAGAGGCCACGCTCCTGCCAGCACCTCTAGCTTTTCCTCCTTTTTATTTCACGAGAATTAAAGTTCTACGTGCAGATCAGTGAGCGGGTCCCTACGGGCGTTTCCTTCCTGGTGCAGCCGCCTTCTCCCCCGGTCACCTCCGGCTGGGCCTGCTGCCTGGCGTCCGGGCGCAGCAGGAGGAGGGTGGGGCCAGACAGAGCTGACGGGTGTGGGAGGCCCCTCCCCTCAGGGGCCCTGGTCGGCATTGTCGGGGCCGTCGGGGCTGGCCGGTGGGGGGCTGGCCGGTGGGGGCGGGGGGCTGGCGGCCTGCAGGTCCTGCAGCAGCGCCTGCAGCTGCTTTAAGCTGGGGTGCACGTTCTCCTGCAGCCACTCCTCCACGGCGCCCTCGGGGAACACACGGCGCAGGGCGGCCGCCAGCTCATGCGCGAGGGCGCTCCACCTGCCCAGGAGACTGACACCGGCAGGGGTGAGGGGCCCACGCTCCGAGCGGCCGTGCCTCAGTCTACCCACCCGGGCCCCGGGCTGCCGCACTGCTGGGAGTCAATGACTGAGGACTCAGTTTAACTCCTGAACCTGGGGTTTCCCTAAGACCTACACCATCAGCAGTGCCCAGCACTCTTGCAGCGGGACGGTCTGCACAGTGCCCAGAGGACTGGCTGGCAGGACCCCGTCTCCTTGGTGCCAGGGAGGACTCGGGCTCATGCCAGCTGTGGGCCCGGTGTCTGGCTCCACGGTGAGCCTGGGCCCTGCCCGGTCATCTGTCACCTCCCTCCTCAGGCTGGGCACACCTGGCTTCGCTAACGCTCAGGGGCACCTGAGAATCCAGGCCCGGGAGCCACTGGCCCCGAGCGCTGGCCCCGAGCGGCAGAGGCGCCCGTCCGGGAGGGCGGGAGGCACGGCTACCTGAGCGCCTGGGGCTGGATGTGCTGGATCATGACCGGGTGGACGAGCTTCCGCCGGCGGTGGTAGTGGCTGAACCAGCCGGTCACGTACCTGGGGGAGAGCCACACGGTGGACACAGGGACGGAGGTCGCTCAGTGTCTCCTGGACACTGAACAAGTCGTTTCCCCAGAAAGTTCTGGTGAAGGATGGGCAGGCCCTCACCCTGGGTGTGTGTGTGGGGGGCACACCCTGAGTGAGGATCCCTGAGTCAGCTCCCCCTCGGCCGCCCCCGTGCCCCCGCTCACCTGTCCCTCTGCAGCACCTCGTTCACGGAGCTGCGCAGGTCCAGGCTGACGTGCGTGACGAGGGCCAGGATGTCGCTGCCGGGGAAGGAGCCGGCCCCGTCGCTGCACAGAGAATCGGGCGCTGAGAGGGTCCCCGGCGTGGGGGGAGGGGCAGTGCTGAGGCGGGGGGGGGGGGGGGGGGATCACCTTGTGACATCGGCGACTTCCATGGTGGGGATCCCCAGCAGGTTCTGCACCTGCGCCTGCACGTCCTCCGAGAAGCCGCCTGGAGCCAAGCAGGTGGCAGGTCATCACCGCCCTGGGCACTGACGGCTCCGGCGGGAGACGGCTCCCCAGCCGCCCGCACCCCAAGGTCCCTGCAGCTGAGGCAGAAGCACCTTCCTCCCCAGGTTCCCCCAACTTCCGCGCCTGTCTTGGGTTTGGGCTTGGACGCCTGGGCTGGGCGGGGGGGGGGGGGCGCTGAGGAAGGCCTCGCCAGCCCCGCCTCCGGGGGGAGCGCCTTACCGTGCAGGAGCGACTGCAGACACACGGCCAGGGACGGGATGGCCACGGGCAGCAGCTCGCACAGCACCGCGAAGTGGTCGTACCTGAGCCCAGGAGGGGGCGCTCAGCTCGCGCGCCCGCTCCGTCCGGCTCCGAGGCGGCCTGAAAGCCGGCTGCTGCCTCCGGGTACGCCCTTGGCTCCCGGGTGTGCAGGCCCACCCGCCACCCAGCCTGGCTCAGCGCTCTGGGTCACCACCCTGGACCCTCAGAGTTCGGCTCAAAGGCCCTGCCTCCAGCTGCCCTGGGTGCCAGGGCCACCTGGCCTCTCCTCTGACCCCAATCCTAGATGGCACCTGTGGCCAGGACCAGGGTCCACTCATAGCTCAGGTTTGCAACTGGCATGAAGTAAAGAGCCAGTGTCCGTCCGGTCCCCGCTGAGTGTCAGCCGCGTGTGGCCTCACGGAGGCTGTGGACTGTGGACAGGCACGGGGGTCCCAGGGGGGCCAGAGGGCAGCCTGCCTTGGGCAGAGTGGGGGCGGCTACAGGGTGTGAGGGGCCCTGGCTGCTCCCCCGCCATCCGCACAGCATCTGCCCGTCCCTCCTGGTCAGAGGCCCAGCGTGTCCCGGGTGGCGAGGAGGGCGGGGTGTCCTGGCCTCGGGCGCTGCCTCACCCTCCAGGACGGCCCCGAGCACCCTCACCTCTGCCAGCCGGTCAGGACGATGCCCTGCAGGGTGTCTTTCTGCCCCTGGGCCGCCACCTGCAGCCACCGCAGGTTGTTCTGGAGGTGGTACTCGACGGGGGGCAGGGCCTGGCTGGGCCCCGTGGCCCCCTTGAAGGCACTGGCGGCCCACATCCGGGGGAAGCCACTCTTCCGGTACTTTTCCATGAGGAGGACTGGGGAGACAGCGCGAGGTGTGACGGGGCCGGGGCCGGGGCCGAGGCTGAGGAGGCTGCGGCCACCAAGCCGGCCACACGGGTGGGAACCACGGAGCCCACACACGGCTGGACGGCGCCCCCTCGGAGCCCACCTCCCGCCCCACGGGGACCCGGTTCACAGGCCGCCCTGTGAGGACCGGCCGCAGGACACGGGGCCGCTCCCCGGGACCCGGCCCCGGCAGAGTCTGCGGTGAAGCAGAGGCCGGTCAGGCTCTGAGGAGCCAGGAATCAGGCCCCGTGTCCCCCCCGGGGCGTCAGGTGGCGGGGTCGACCCAGCGGCTCGGTACTGACCCTTGCCCTGCACGTCCAGGTCGGCCCCGTAGTCCCAGAGCACGGGCTCCACCAGCTGCGGCACCCCGGACGCTGTGGGCGAGAGGCTGTGAGTGCCCGGCCGGCGGAACGGCCCGGCCCCGGCTGCTGGCCAAAGACGGACACCGCCATCTTTCCCAGGACACGCTCCGCACTGCTGCTCTCAGCGGAAAGGCCTCAGCCAGCGGCCAGCAGCCAGCAGCCCTGGACGGCCCGGCCCCGGAGCCGGAGCCGCCGGGCACGGCCCTCTGCACGCTGCCCAGCTCCAGGCCTGGGCCCAAGAGGCACGTGCGCTAATTGGATTTAATTGTAACAAACCCGAGATCAAACCCAGGTGGCCACTTGGGTGCTGGCGGGCCTTGGGAAGGTGGGCCCCCACGTGGCTCTGGCCAGAGCTGTGAGTGACCACACCAACCTCCCGTCTCCTCCCAGAGCCTCAGGCCCGAGCGCCGGGCTGGAGGGGCTGCTGCTCCCCCCCCAACCCCCTCCCCACCTCCCGAGGAACCTCACCCGCATCCGGGCAGGGCAGGCCGGGGAGGCTGAGTGGGCGGAGCCAGGGGGTGGGAAGGGAAAGCAGAGCTCCCTGTGGCCCAGCCTCCCACCCCCAGGGCCAGGGCCCCGGCCTCATGGCCGCCCAGGTGGGACCCAGCGCTCGCTCCCGTCCTGCCAGGGCTCCGTGGCTCTGACTGGACTGTGGGGAAAGCGCCGCGGTGCTTGTATCAGTCCCCGAGCGGACGGGCTCAGCGGCAGCCGGCGTCTCCGCCGTGGACGCCCGCTGACCTGACAGCTGGTCCTCGGGGATGTCCCGCAGCATGTCGTCCCACACCAGCGGCGTCGTGGCCGGGTGCTGGGTCCGCACGTGGCTGGCCACGGCCTTCACGTGGGACAGACACAGCGCGGCCGTGGTGTTCTGCTCCTGCTGCAGCCACTGCCTCGAGGCCTCGCCCTCCCCGAGGTAATAGACCTGGAGGAGGGAAGGCAGGCCGTCTGCCTCCGGACCAGCCCGCCCGGGAGCGACCAGGCTGCCGACCGGGGTCGGAGCACCCAGGCAGGGGCAGGGGCACCGGCAGGGAAGGGGGCGGCAGTGCAGGGCAACCTGCTGCCTCGCCGGGACCTGAACTCCCCCTCCACAGCAGCTCGAGGGGAAGAACCAGACGCCCCCACGACCAGCCCTGCTCCACCGGGCGCGTGGACTATTTTTCTATTTGAGAGCAGCTGCCCCGGGGCAGGGGATGGCCTTGAGGTGAGACGCGGGGCCTGCGGGCCTGGAGGCAGCCGGACGCAGCACCCACCTCGTCGCAGCCGATGTGCAGCCAGCGGGCTCCGGGGTGCAGCTCCAGCACCTGGTCCACCATGGCTCCCACCAGTGCCAGCGCCTCCTCCTTGTGCGGGTTCAGGGTGTTGGGGAAAAGCGCCACTTCCCGGAGGTGGGCGAGCGCCCGGTGCTTCAGCACGAACTGCGGGAGGGCGGGTGTGTGTGTGTGTGTCACACAGGGAGAGAGGCTCATGCCAGGACCCGACAGGCCGCGTCTGGGTCTAAACTTCTGTCCACAGGGGCTTCTGAGAACCTGTCTCTGCAGCGCCCACTGCGCCCCCGAACCCCGCACCTGGGCACCTTCCCGCTCACCTCCATGTGCCCGAACGTCTGCACCAAGGGGACCACCTCGAGCTCATGCGCAGCGGCCAGACGCAGGATCTCCGTGACCTCGGAGGGGCTGAGACAGGCCAGCGCGCTCACTGCCGGCCCTCCACCAACGCCCCGGGCTCCCCCGGGGAACTGCGCCGCTAACACCCCTGCTAACACCGAGAAGCTCCACAGGCGTCCTGAGGTCTTACAGACGCTCCTGCCCTGGGATCTGGGCTGTCAGGGCCTCAAGTGACATTTGCTTTTTACCAGCTGCTCTCGCCCAAACCCTGGACGCTGGAGTCGCTGAACCAGGACTCATAGGACAGAGCAGGTCGGCAGGCGGACCCCAGGGCAAACTCCCCATAGGATTTAGTCGTGAAGTCCTGCCCACACCCCCGTTTTCTCTGCAGGTGGCGGCCGGGCAGGCAGTACCTGTAGGCGTGCGGGGCCCTCAGCAGCCTCAGGGGGCCGTCGTAGGGAAACGTGTCTTCATACTCGATGAGGAGGCCGTTGGCTCCCAGGGCACTGAACAGCGGGAAAATCTG